GATAGTACTACTCAAGAAATAAATGAGACTGGCATTTGTCTCACTACCACTATCAAGGATAACTGAAATTCAAAAAAATTGGTATTTTTCTGCTGATTTTTGATATTCATATAGTCATCATATATGTAACATAAGAAGTCTCAAACGATTCTTTTGGAGATGTTGATCGAGGATAAGCTTAAGTGAAACTACAAGCTATTCAAAGCTAATAAGAGAATTATATTTTAAATGACTTTCATAGCAAATCTTTCATTTTTAGGGTTCATTTTTTCTAAAAAAGATTTCTGTGTTAATACATCTAGCAAGATCACTCTTTTAAAGAGCTTTCGATTCATGTAAGATACATCTAGGTTTCTTCCTATTTTGGTCGAAAAACATTAGTTTTACTGTCAAAAAAGCGTGACGGGACATTTAGCGAGGATGACTTCCGTTTGAGGACTGATTTTTTTAATTTTTTTTCTAATAAAAAGTATTATAGATTTCTTTCAAATTGTATCTTATTTCTTTTTCTCAATATGTTGTACAAAATAGAATGCACATTCAAGTGGCTGTAACCAAACGAGAAGATCTCCCACGCGAGCAAACAATCCCAATGGATGTTGACACTTGTTTGCTACATGAGCACATGTGAAAGAAAGTGTAATGGCATACATAACAGCATTAAGAAGATGAAGACCAACGGAGAAACCAACCGTGCAAAATTATGCTGAATTTATTGAGTCGATAATCGATTGAAGTTGAGGACGATGCATTGCATATTCAATGGAACTATAGATATCATTGGCAGGAAGAATCCGATCCATCACCGACTAAGTCGTAAGGGCAATAATACAAATACAAAATGGAGGTAAAATCTTCCAGACAACATGTGTTTGAAGAAATGAACAAAGAGGATGAGGTGAAATAAATTTTAACATGTTGAATATAATTTATTACAGCTCTTCTGCTCTCGTTTTTGATAGCAATAAAAAAATTATGTGTATAGAAGAAAAAAAAACGTAAATATTTTATCTTCATACTGATCAACGGTACACGATTGCCAGTTGTAGAATTATGCAACTTGTGTCAATTTAAAAAAAACTTTTTATAGAAACCAAGTGACACATTTTTCTAGAATGTTGTATAATTGTAACATCGGATTGTATTATCAGTTTGTCTCTTTTCCAGATGGCAAACAATCACGTTCGAACTTCAAAGTCTTCTTTTTTAAAAAAGCAATCATTCTCTACTGTTGTTCTATATAGTCATATTCGAAAGGCCTCATCTATTGTGTTACTTTTTGAAGAAAATCAAATCATTTCTGATCAACAAAAAGAGTGAATCATTTGTCAAACAAAAAAAAAAAACCTTTGCACTTCCATGATGATGAATTGTCTTCCAATAACATATCGTCAACGTCATTTTCATTCTAACAATGTGTAAACAAGACTGTTACCAAGGCAAAAATGTATAGAGACAATTGCTGCATCGGTTAAGAGTCATGACGTTTTATTAGCAACTACCGTTGTGAGAAGATTGGGTTGTCTAACGAGTTAACAGAACTTGAATTTCCATTAAGACCAACTCACTTGACAGCGTTCTTGTCAAATGCGATCATTGGTCGAATTGACAGAGAGATCGCTTCATGCACTACAAATAGTAAAACGATTTCTATGGTATCATTTGTCAGAATGTATCAAAAATAAAAAAAAAATTATCTTGACTATATTCTAGACATAAATCCTTTTTCGGGACTAGAATTGGATGAGAGGGGAAAAAGCTGACTTCATGACCAAAGTCTCTGCTATTTTTTCCTCGATAAAAGCTATAAAGAATTGAGATATTCTTGAAAATGAAGACTGAATATCACATCTAATATTAAAAGAAGGTTTTTTCCTCTCACTAATTTAGGTTTTCTGATCAATATTGTATTTATATCATAGCTTTTTGGTTCTAAGAATAATTGAAATTTAATTTCGATTTGTTTTCGCTCATATTCCTCTTTTAAAAATTTAATAGAATCTAAAAGAAACATATGAAATATTTATGTATATGTCAACAAATATTAATTAGTTTGATCATTCTTTGTTATCGAAAAAGAAAAAGTTGAATATATTGCGAAAAATGTACGATTATAAACTCTTTTACTATCATTAAGTTGAATTAGAACAAAAACAAAATCTTATTTAACACAAACTCGTATAGAAAAGAATAACTAAATTATTTCCATTCCAAATAGATATTATCAATGACATGTTACCTTATATAATCTAATAATAGTTTTTCAGAATTAATCATTTTATCTAAATTTTCCATCATTTTATCATCTTCTACTGGAGTAGGAAAAGATAAAAAAATCGAAGTTGACAGTTACATTTAATTTTCATTAAAATAAGTCGTACAAATAATTTCATATCCATATTATTTATAAAATTCACTTTGAGATATATTATACGAAGACAAAGTTCAATAAGAAAATAAATTTCTTCAATATGATTCATCTTTTTCAAGATTAATTTTTGTAATTTGATTATTATTTGATGTAAAACTAAGAATTTCTATTCATCATTGAATATATTCGAGATTTAAAATCATCATCAATACATTCATAATATTTCAGATAGAATTTTTCTAAATCAAGCAAATATTCTTAAAAAATGATTTGTACTCATTGTCTAACATCGAGCTATTCTCTATCATCATATGCAGTATGAACATATAAAACTTTTTATTTTGAATGTATTTCAATTAAAGTTTTGATTACTATCCAATTCATATATAAACTTCAGACGAGAAAGTTGTGGTGTGTAAGAATTCATAGCAGAAATGTCGTTGAAAGTACAAAAATCATTTAACGATACTGAATTGTTTGATGATGCGGTGAAATAGTTATTCTAGCATGCTCATATTTTTGTGCTGAGAATTTAACATATCTCAATTTGGACAAAATTGAACGAATCCTTCTTGAATATATCCTATGTTCATAGTTAAGTTAATGAAAATAAGCGAGATAAATAAGTTAAATTGTTAAGAACTGAATGAAATATTTTAGATTTAATTTCAGTAAGAATATATGATTCGAAACGATTAAATAACGAATCAATGGCAAATGGTGAGATAAATCGACTGACAATATTTTTCCGTATCAATAAATGAAATAAGAATATTTTTTTTTTCTATTAAATAGAATAAATTCTTTATTATTGTTCATAAGTATTTCTTTTGATACTGAATAAATAAGTTTATAAAAGAAATGAAAAGTTGTTGAAAACGATAATTAAGAATTCATTAGACAAATTTTTAATAGAAGTTATTCATCTATCAAATGAATAATTTACTTCGTAATTTCTTTATTGATCTTTTCGACGATTTATCAATAGTTGATTGTCGTTTTTATTTTATTCATATATTGGTAATAATCCTTTTTCCATTGTAAATAAATAACATCAAGTATACATTTGATTGAATACCAAACAATAGATTTGTTTGAATTGATAATATTCTTGAATTTTTCAATAATTTTATCATCTTCTGTTGGAATACGAAGACATAATGTATAAAAATATTGATTACCATCATTATTAATTTTATCTAAAATTTCTTTTATAAATAATTCAATATCCATATTATTAATAGAATCGATATGAAGATAATTCATTCGAGGACAAAATTTAATGAGAAAATTAATTTCTTCAATTTTATTAAATTTTTCAAGATAAATTTTTGTTATTTTGTTTTTATTTGATATAAAACAACGATTTATTTCTTCCATAGATGAATCACACGTTGATGATAATGATAAAGAATGAATTTTTAATGAATCAAGTTCAGATAATCTACATATTATATCCATTAATGTTGAAATATCAATTTGACCTCTTTCAATTTCTAAATGATAAAATTGTGCTACTCTTAAGATACCATGTATGTCAATTGAATATTCATTCTTAGGAGGATATCTAAATGTAAGTTGACTAGATTTTGAATAATCAATGGATGAATTTCTATCATACCATGTTTCTCTAAATGATAATAAATAAATTTATTTATTATAAAAGTTTTTATATTACTTATATGGATCAATTTTAAAGATAAATCCAGGTGTATTGATTTTACTTTTAAATACCCATCTTTTTTCAATCCAAAATGATGAAATAAATTGATTAAAATCTACTTTACGATATGCTGGAGATCGATGTCCATAATAAGGCATGTCTTCATATTGAAAATAGAATTTTTCTAATTGAGGAAAATATTTTAAAATTAATTCTTTCCATCGATTAGCATATAAATAAGTCACATCATTAGACTGAGTTCTATAACGCAAAACTTTTAATTTACAATTGAAGTTTTTAATGAACATTGTAAATTTATCAAATTTTATATAATGTACATCTAAAGAAATATATGTTAAATTTGATAATTTTATTGGTAATATGTTTTCAATGATTGAATCATCATCATCATGATCGATTATAGGGTAAACATTCAAATGACGAAGTCGAGGTGTATAAGACAATATAGTCAAAAGGTCATTAAAATTACAACGATGTTTAATAATAAGATATTCAATAGAACTAACTTGACTGTTGCGAAAAAATGATAGTGAAGTGTTTACAAAATCAGTATCGTATACTGTAAATTTCAAATATTTCAATTTTGATAATGCAAAAATTAATTGATAAATATTAGTTAATTTGCTCAAATGATCTAACATATCGATTGTTAATGAGAATAAACGAGGTAAACAAGTTAATTTGGATAGAAGTTGAATAAGTATAGTTGGTTTAATTTCATCAAGAACAAATGATTCAAGATGATCAAATGATGAATCGATTGAATATGATGAGAAAAAATGCTTCGCTTGATATGGTATGCATATATAAAATGAATATATTTGATGTTTATTAAGATGATTAAGAAGTGTCAGTTGTTTAAAGATTTTTGTGTATGATTCATCATATTGACAAGTAATTTTAATTTTAAATAGAAGAGATGATGAATTAAGAAGTTGTTGAAAACAGTAATTAAGATTTGAAAATGCCTTGTATATATCAATACCATCAAGATAATCAAATAGTTCATAAAACAATTCATTTGATAAATTTTCAATAGAAGTTATTGACATTTTATTTAATATGTAAATAAATATTCGTTAGGTATGAATGAACGACAACAGACATGCTTTATATAGAAGTTGTTATTCAATCAAATGAATAGTCCGTATTTTATAAATAATTTAAAACATTATTCTTCTCTTTTGTTCCACTCAATAGATATAATACATAAGAATTGATATAATAAATAAACTAGAACACGAAAATATTTCTCATTATTAATTATTTCATAATTTCTCCTATGATATTGATTTTCCATGTAATCGGAAAATGTACTAAAATTATTTAACTTTCAGCTTTCTATCAGAATTATACAGAATATTATTGGAACTGTAAACATAAAAGATGAAAGAAAGATTACATCTATTACTATTTTTCGTTGAAATATGGCTTTGTTTTTTAGATAAATTAAATAGAACAAAAGATATACGAGAAGAAACCTTTGATTATTACATGATTATTTAAATATATTTATTTATTCCAGTTTGATAAGGATTTTATTGAAATAAATTGAGATTTATTTGATTTGATGTTTTCTATTAGTTTCGAAGAAACTATGTTAATTTCCTCATTACTTAGGCGAAATCTTTCATGAGCGTAACTTATGAAAAACCAAACTAGTTTTCTGGAAAGGAAAGAAATTTCTTCACATGCATAGTGCACATATAAATATCAAGAAATTTCCGTAAGAATCAAGCTAAACTCAAACAGATAGACATTTGGTTTATCTTCGATAAAAAATTCTTCATATAATTTGTAATTGATCATCAACATATTCATGTTTAAAATGAATATTTATCGTCATAGAATAACAAATCGGAAATATTTTATAATAAATAATAATTAAAATTAAACATATGATTAATATTTTACGATAATTTTGATTTATTAAATAAACAAAAAGTTTTGGTTCCTATAGAGTGCGTAAAAATGTTTTTCCAGAGGAGAATAACGCTATAATTTTAAATAGAATCAATAGCAAGTTTTATGCCAAATGAAAGTGCGTCAAAAAAAAATTGAATTCGTCAACATTAAATGGTAAGGGCTCTAGAAAACTTCTGTTATCAAACATAACAAATCTCTAGAAATTTCCGTAGTGTTACTTCGTAGGAAACTATCATTTTGAATCAAATTTAGTTTTGAAACTGCCTCATGAAGGAAGCTTTTTCATATTAAAATATCGAAAATTTCTAGAAATTTGTTATGTTTGAAATAAAAAGATTAACAGAACCCTTAGTATTTAATAATGATAAATTCCATTTTTGACCGCTTTCATTTAGTATAAAATTTCCTACAATTATGAGTTAAAGTGAGAGAATCGATGCCGTCCACAAGATAGGTCTTTCTGCACTGCAAACAAAAACGGTGATCAGTTTATCTAGTCAGAAAATAGAAAATCTTTCCTACAAAATATTTCAAACAAATTATTTTGATTTAGCCAAAGTTACGAGGGTGAGGGTGAAGACCCTCAATCTCAATATAGAATGATAACGTCTTATTCTTTTTTATTTTCTCTATAAGCTACTAACAATTCAAAGAAAAAAATATTGTTTATATAGTTGTTGATAAATCTTTCTAATAATTATTTTTTCCATTCTAAATAGATAACATCAAGTACATATTTGATTGAATACCAAACAATAGATTTGTTTGAATTGATAATATTCTTGAGTTTTTCAATCATTTTATCATTTACTGTTGGAATACGAAGACATAATGTATAAAAATATTGATTACCATCATTATTAATTTTATTTAAAATTTCTTCTATACAGAAATCAATATCCATATTATTAATAGAATTTATATGAAGATAATTCATTCGAG